GCCCTAAGACTTACCAGAGATCACATTTAGGCTCTCCAATTGACTGCTAGTCAATCCCAGTTTACAACCATCCAGATCAAGGGAGGGGGAGGGGAAGAAAGAATACACAGGCAGGGAATTTATTGATTGGCTTACATACTAGAGGCTGAGTAATCCAACAAAACCTGTCTGCAGAGAACCAGGCTCCCAGTCCAGGAAGTGGGACACCTCAGCAGTTCCAATCCAGAGCTGAAAGCCTGGAAGGTCTCTGGAGAGTCACTGGTACTGAGTCCATATTAAAAAATTGATGAAGCTAGAATTTGATGTCAGTTGATGGCAGCAAGTATAGAAAGCAAGGGGCTTGCAGGCAAGCATTTGCTCCTTTCCTCTGACTTCTTTTTTTCACCCAGGCTGCCAGCTGTAAGGTGCTGCCGACATTCAGAACATATTTCCCTTCTTCTTCCCCTCATTGTCCCACATCTTAGTCTCTCTGAAAACACCTCCACATAGATATAGGTACATTTCACCCCTCCTAGACAATTTTTAATCTATCAAGTTAACAGCTAAGACAGCTATCACAATGCCTTTACACCCCCCTCAAACTTATTGTTTTATATCTGCTGCTTTAAAAAAACAGAAGCACTGCATTATCTTTCTGTTTCAAAGTGCACACCTCCTCTTAGAAAGACTACTAGGGTTTTTTTCCCCCCTGTCTGACAGACACCTCCCACTGTTTATTTCCAAGGACAGAGATAAATGATGCATAATCAGGAATCTAGTTAATAGATCATCCACACCCTTTCTTGACCATAGAACTGTTATATTAGGATACCTGCCATTATAGACTCATAACAGCAATCCTGCTTAATAGTCTTAACCCCCAGTTTGTACCTTTGTCCCAGCAATTCACAGCTGCTTATTGTTCCCCAAACTTACTAAATTGTCTTCACTTTTCCTTTTTCTGCTTCTTGTGCCTCTGCCTGAAATAACCTTCCTCTTTCTTACCTTCTGACAAAAACCTTCTAGTTCAAGCCCAGCCTAAAGGTTAACTTGGGTGAAGCCTTTCCCAACCCCACAGTTGCTTTCCTTCTGTTGTTTCATTACTGTTCTTTATATCCTTCTGCTATAGCCCAAGTGATACAATTTGCAATTTCTGTTTTATGGAATTGCCTCACCCCCATAAAATGTGAGCCATCCAAGCATAAGGAAGGATCAGTTTTGTTTACTTTTAATATCTGGTGGCGAGAACCTAAGATACTAGGTAGTCAATGAGTGTTGAATGAACAAGCATACAAATGAAAGCAACTGAATCATTCTGTATGCTTCACTGAAGGGAAAGCCTAAGTATTATTTTCAGATCATAGGGCACAGGTCATCTCCTGAACAAAAACCATTCTTTTAACTTGCTAAAGCTAAAATGTTACTATTACTATCACAGATTTTCGCTAGCTGAAAATGCATAGCCAGTTAAGTTCAAGTGTTCACCTACAGCAAACCTAATTAATTAACTACTCAATCACTCCTTGACTTGACTCTTCATCAAGTTCCATCTGTGCATATAGGACATTCTGCTAAGCAATGAGGTGTGAAGAGAAATTGGGCACAATGCCTGACCCTAACAAGACCTTACAGTTGGTTGTTAGCCACCATGTGGGTGCTGGGAACTGAAACTGGGTCCTTTGCAAGAGCAGCCAGTGCTCTTAATCCTGAACTACCTCTCCAGTACCAAGAAAGTATTTTAATACTCTATCTAGCCCGGTGTTTTTCATAGCCTACTTCTTAGCAAGTATGACTTAAGTACCTATATTTCTCCCAGACAGACATCTTTTACTTAGTAACTATGTTACTTGCTTTTCTCATTGCTATGATCAAATACCTGGCAAGAAGAGTTTATGGGGCTCTAGTCCATTATGGTGGGGAAGCGAGAACTTCCAATACTTGGTTCTATTGTGTCTGTAGTTGGAAAGCAGAGAAAGACAAATGCTGCTGGTATTCATCGGGGTTTCTCCTCTTTTCCCTTTTATTTAGTCTGAAATCCCAGCCCATGGGATGTTACCACCCACATTTAAGATGAGTCTTTAAGTCTTTCTCTAAATGATCTCACAGAAATGCCCAGAAGTATATTTCCTAAATGATTGTAAATCCAGTTAAATTGACAGTAAAGATTATTGCAGCAATCTATTTTATGCTCAGATATTAAGCAGATTAGTAAGAATGCACTAATCTTTCCATTAATACCTGATGTTTCCTGATTATCTTGAAATTAAGTACACATCCAGGATCTCATATCATATTGTTTCTTGGTCAAATTTTTCTATCAAGAAATAAGCAATATTTTCTTTAAATAAAAGCTATTTAAGGGGACTGGTGAAATGGCTCAGCAGTTAAGAGCACTGACTGCTCTTGCAGAAGTCCCAGGTTCGAGTCCCAGCACCCAATAGTGGCTACGAACCATCCTAACTCCAGGTCCAGGGGAACCCAAAGCCCTCTTCTGACCTCCTCGGCATTGCATGACACAGGTGCACTCACATACGTGTAGGCAATACACTCAAACAGATAAAATAAAAATAATACATTTTTAAAAAATTTTAAAAAGCTATTTAACAATAGGGATCTGCAAATAAAAGGTCATGAACCAACGTGTATCTTCATTGAATTAACTCACATATCAGAAATTATTCTGTTCACTAAGGAACTAAAAGCTGTCCCTATGCTTTTCTCCTGGTAATTTTTAACATTCTGAAAAGGCATGTTATTTGACATTTTTCAGTAACAAGGTTTGAAAGTTCCTCACAGCAGGTGGTTATTTATATCTGGTGCTTGTATCTGTTAGAATAGAATGATAACTGTTCTGCCTTCAGATTCTTTTGATGCCACTATTCAAAATAACTTCATTACTTGATAGTTATTATTGAATAAACACTGTTGTATCCTTGCATTTCTGGCAGTGAATTTTGCAGAAATAAAAAATTCCATATTTTCTTCATTTTTGTTAAAACTATTTTATACCAGGCATGGTGGCACACGCCTTTAATCCCAGCACTGGGTGGCAAAAGCAAGTTCCAGGCCTGCTGGGGCTACAGGGAGACCCTATCTAAAAAAAAAGGCAATAATAATAGATTTTAAAGAATATATGTATCTATAATTATTTTTCAAGAATAAAATTCTAGTAAGCACCACAAAACAGGAAGAAAATGAAGAAGGAAGAAATAAAAATACAGGAGATAAACAAAATAAATAGTAACATAGTTGACCCAAATCTAACTATATCAATAATTGTATTAAGTGCTGTAAATTAAATACTACAAATAAAAGGCAGAGACTACGATAATGAATAAAATAAAGATCCAACTGCAATTTGTCTGTAAGAGACACTCGAAAGAGTTTGTGGTGGCACATGCATTTAATACCAGCACTCAGGAGGCACAGGCAGGCAGATCTCTATGAGATCAAGGCCAGCCTGGTCTACATAGTGAGTTCCAGGTCAGTTGGGGCCACAGGGAGACCCTGTTTCAAAAAAAAAAATTAGAGTTTGGTGAAAATACACCTTGTACACAACAAGCATAAGTCTGATGGCTATAGTAATATCACATAGAATACATTTCAAGACCAAAAAAACTAGACATTAAGCAATCTTTAAAAAAATGCAGTTATAAATTTATTTGGGCCAGGAGTGGTGGCATACACCTTTAATCCCAGCAGAGGCAGAGGCAGGTGGATCTCTGAAATCAAGGCCAGCCTGATCTACATAATGAGTTCCAGGCTATCTGGGGCTACAGAGAGACTCCATCTCAAAACAAATAAACAAACAAGAAGTTGGCTGTGGTTGCCCAGGAGTGGTGACAGGGTGATGTAGCAGTAAATGGGAATGGCTGCATAAACTAGAAATGCAGGTAGCTCATTGGCAGATAGGGCACAGGGTCTCCCTATAGCCCCAGCTGGCCTGGAACTCACTATGTAGACCAGGCTGGCCTTGAACTCACAGAGATCTGCCTGCCTCTGCCTCCCTACTGCTGGGACTAAAGGCGTATGCCACCATGGTCCCCCAAGGGCACATATTAGTTGAGATCATTTTTCTCTTCCTGCTTCTGTGTATGCCATATTGGGCAAAAGTGATGGCAGAAGGAACATAAAGGCAAGAAGCAAATATAAGGAAGAAGCCACCTAGCGTCATTAATTCTGTCATCATTTATCACTTTTCCCTCATGTCAGTATCTTTGTCTCTGTGAAGGTATGTAGAATGTGGAACATAACTAATTCCTAATGAAAACCAGGAAAAGGTAAATGATACGGCTTTCAGTAAAGTAGATTTAATTATAGCATCACCATGTGAGTTTCCTTGGACAACTTATTTCCCTTTTGTACATTTTGGTTTCTTAATCTATAAAATATTTGTTGAGTTTAAGCCACTAAAATATAGTTTTACTGTGATTCAATGTTTTTATTACATCATTTCCTGTTAGGCATTATAATCAGTGATGAATATAGTACCATTAACCCTTTGAATTTTTAAGGAATTAGTTAAGATAATGTACTTAAAGTGTTGTGTACAGTACCTGGCACATTGTAAGTGCTCAGTACATGGTAGCAGTTATGTCAGTGGTGCTGGGGAATTTTCATGATTACTGGGAAGGAAATGGGGCTCACTGTTCAGGTTGCTCTTTGTTGATCAGAATTATAGGTCATTTTGATGACATTTGTTGGTGGTAATATGAATGATTACCCATTTAAAAATAGCATAACAATACATAACACATTCAGTTGGTTTTTCAGAGGTAATAGCACTTCTTCATTGTCAGTGACATTTGTTTATAGACTGTTGTCAACGTCTCTTCCAGGAGTAAGTTCTAATGCTATCAGTCTCTTGATTTGATAGAAAGTTTCTTTTATGAAGAAAATTTAGTTTGGTTTCAGAGACACATGAATGAGCTATCCCCATAAAAAGCTTAGTAGAATCCATTGGTTATATTATAACATGAGACTCCAGTTTTTAATTTTCTTTTCATTTTCTGCTTATACAGGAGGCCGACAGTGGGGAGGAGGAGTGCCGGTCACAGCCCAGAAGGTTTGTTTGTTCTGTTTTATCTTACAACATTTATGTGGTTATGGTTTTTTCTCTGAATCTTTTTTTGTCTTTCTGGATTAATTTATTTTGATTTTCCAAGATGGTTTCATTGAGATTTTTGTTTTTAATGGAACAGCTGCTTTGTATGGTGAGGTGACTCTGCCTATAAATCTCAGTACTCAGGAGGCTGAAACAGAAGGATGGAGAGTTTGAGGCCAACCTGAGCTTCACAGCAAGACCCTATCTCAAAAAACAAACAAACATAATTAGATAAATATTATTTAATAAATAAATAAATGGAAAACCTTTAAAAATCCATTTGCTAATTTAGAAAGACTTAAAATGGTAGATTAATTTTAAAAGATACAGAAGAGGGGCTGGAGAGATGGCTCAGCAATTAAGAAGCACTGGCTGCTCTTGCAGAGGACCCAGGTTTGGTTCCCAGCACCCGTATTGTGGCTGACAACCATCCATAACTCTAGTTCCAGGGGTTCCAATGCCCTCTTCTGACCTCCATGGACACTGCATGACATGGGTGCACTTACATACATGCAAGCAATACACTCATACATTTAAAATAAAAATAAAATATTTTTTAAAAAGCTACAGAAAGCCAATTTTGGCTCACTTTTTACCAAGTTTCTAAAGAACTATCTTAGGACCTGGGAATATAGCTCCGCTGGTAGAGTATTTGTAGCATGCACAAGGCCTGGGTTTGATCCTCAGCACTGCGCTAACCAGGCATTGTTGGTCTACACCTGTAATCCCAGCACCTAGGAAGTAGAGGCAGGATGACCAGAAGTTCAGGTCATCTTTGACTAAATAGCTAGTTTGAGGCCAGCATGTGCCACAACATGAACCCATTTTTTTAAAAAAAAGGTAGCTCGCTGGGTATGGTGGCGCACACCTTTAATCCCAGCACTTGGGAGGCAGAGGTAGGCCGGATCTCTGTGAGTTCAAGGCCAGCCTGGTCTACATAGTGAATTCCAGGACAGCTGGGGCTACAGTGAGACCCTGTCTCAAAAAGACCAAAAAAAAAAAAAAAAAAAGGTAGCTCTCCCAAAAGAAAGATCTTTGGTAAGCCCTAGTCATTTAAATGTTAACCAAATTTATATCCTCTGAAGCGGTATGACAAGCCCTTCTGAATGTTATATAAAATGGATGTAGTAAGCATGCTTATTCTAAAAAATCACAAACTAAGCAGAATGCTTCTTTAATGATTATCAGGTATTTCACAACAGATTTTATTTAGCCGTAAAGAATGAAATTATCTCCTGTAAGGAAATAAATGGAACCAGATAGCCACATGTTAAGCCAAATAAGCTAGACTCACAAAGACTAATGCCTTATATTTTCCTTTATATGTAGAATCTAGATTTGGGGGTTTGTTTTGTTTCGTTTTTTTGTATGTTTGAGACAGGGTCTCCCTGTATCCCCAGCTGGCCTGGAACTTGCTATGTAGACCAGGCTAGCCTCAAACTCACAGATTCACCTCCCAAGTTCTGGGATTAAAGGTGTGCACCACCATGCCTGGCCTAAATCTAGATTTTTTTTTTAATTTAAAAAAAATTTTAGGGGGGCTGGAGAGATGGCTCAGGGGTTAAGAGCACTGACTGCTCTTGCAGAGGATATGGGTTCAATTCCCAGCACTCACATGGCAGCTATGAACAATCCTATGTAACTTTACAACTTTATAATCTTCTAGACTCTGTGGGCTCCTGCATGCAGAAGATATATTTTAGGGGCTGGAGAGATGGCTCAGCAGTTAAGAACACTGGTTGTTCTTGCAGAAGACCTGGGTTTGAATCCCAGTACCCACATGGCAGCTAACAACTGTCCTAACTCCAGTCCCAGGGGATCTGACAGCCTCTTCCGACTTCCCGAGGCATTGCACAACATGGGTGCACTTACCTACATGCAGGCAATACACACAAACACATGAAATAAAAATAATAAAATTTTTTAAATTTTTTAAAAATTTTATGTGTATGTGTATGAGTTGTTATGCCTACATGTAAGTTCACCCATGTCATACAGTGCCTTTGAATGACAGAAAAGGGCATTGGAGCTCCTGGAACTGGAGTTATGGATACTTGTTAGCTGCCATGTGGGTTCTGGGATTCAAACCGGGGTCTTCTGCAAGAACAGCCAGTGTTCCTAACCACTGACCATCAATGCAGCCCTGGTTTTAAAAACAAGACATTAAAGTTTAAGAGGGACTATTTGAGAAAAGGAAGGGAACAGACGATGGTGGAGCAGGTGGCAGGAGTAATGGGGGTGTGAATATGATCAAGTAAGTTATATACATGTATGAAAAGGTAACAATGGTCCAGGTGTGGTGGCACAAGCCTTTAATCCCCACACTCAGGAGAAAGAGGCAGGTGGATTTTGGTGAGTTTGAAGCCAGCGTGTCTACATAGCAAGTTCCAGGACAGCTGGAGCCATAGGGAGACCCTGTCTCAAAAAGACCAAAAAAAAAAAAAAAAAAATCAAAGAAAATTAAATCAGGTACTTGTTACCTCTTTTTTTTTTTTTTCTTTTTGAGACGGGGTCTCCCTGTAGTGCCAGCTGTCCTGGAACTCACTATGTAGACCAAGCTGGCCTTGAACTCACAGAGATCCACCTGCCTCTGCCTCCTAAGTGCTGGGATTAAAGGCGTGTGCCACCATGCCCGGCCCTTGTTACTTCTTTTAACTACAACTTAAAAGTAGTTAAAGTACTTTTCTTTAGTAACATGTTAATTGGCATCATTTTTCCTGTCTTGACTATCACATAAATTTTGGCTTAAAGCTTAATTTCTCACTTTCTTAAGAAAGATCTGGCAGTGAAATCTCAATTTGCATAATGCTAAGAGGTAGGTACCCAAAAGAGATTTTACCAGAAGCATTATAACCCTATTCCCATTAGAATTAAAAAAGAATCCCAAAGCAGTCTTACATTTCCTAATAAGTCTGATTTAAAGATTATTTTCACATCCACCGAAATATTCTTCCAGAATTGCATAATGATGAAGCAATGAAACGCTGTTCTTTAATTCACAGCACTAAAATATCAAACCACTAAGGACCACAAAGACCTGGTTTTTTTTTTAATTTTTAAAAATGATTTATTTAATAACAACATACTTAGAAGAAACATATCATTACAACACAATTGACATATTCAATAACGGTTTCCTGAGGTAGGATGCATCTCTTTCAAAATTGGCTGTAAATTTTTAGGTTTACAGTTGAATTAATATAATTATACAATATTGTACTCAGTATAAACCCTATAAGACATAAATTAAATGACGTTTTAACCTTTAAAAAAGATCTCCATTTCATTATTAAAATACACAGTTTCATACAGAAAAATTCTTTTTCAATGCAATTGACATTGGATGTTTGCACATGCATTTCTAAGCTCTAAATATCTAATTATTACTAGTCACAGTTGGTTACTTTCTGAG